AAGCGAGTTTGAAACTAAGTACCGCTGAACTAACCTTTTAAAATGAAAATATAGTTTTAAAACAACCTTCGCTTTGGGAATAGACTTGATTATATATTGAAAATAAAATCTATAATAAAACATTCAGTTTTATAATTTTAATCGCACTATTTTGTATCTTAATTCGATATGCTGCAAAATTTTAAACCGAAAAAAGGCTTTTAAGCGCTCGACATTAAACTTAAATGAGGCGCTCGTATAGTAAAGCTCTAAAGGCTGCTTTCATAAAATATGGGATTACGATGAATAGATAGAATATAGAACTATCGAATTTATTTTAATAATTTCAGGACGAAAGCGTAGCTTAGCTAAAACGTCCACGCCAAGTGAACGCCCAAGTCAACATTACTCCTGTTTCTACAAAATATTCGAAACCAAAAGTTTCTTATTTATTTAAACTTCTACAAAAAAACCCATTTCTTTACCCTATTTGCAAGGTCTCATTAGAATTCAGCGCTAGTTTGTTTAGGTCTCAGAAAGGTTCATTAATAATTAGGTCACTTTTAACAAAAATGTAAGACACGTCTGGCGATTTGTATTACGAATTGACAATTTTTAATGAATTGTTATATTTATGCATAACTTCACCTTAGCCAGTAAAACTATTTATATTTTTAATATTTAATATAAATTAACAACAATTACAAAAGTTCCTTTAAAACATATCGCGCAGCTCCTACCTACATACAAAGATCACTATTTAAGCCACGACTTTTTAAAGCTATTGCGGAATATGCATAACGCTAAATAACCTGCATCGTGCTTATGCACACCTTTATTTTTTTTATTTTTTTATTTATTTAAATACATACCCTCACTTTCACACACAGCACAAATTAGGTATTACTTAGTTAAATGTATTTAATAATTTTTATTGATTTTTTCCTTATTAAGTTTCGTAAATGTATAAATATTTTTGTATATATTATGTATGAAATGCAGAAAAAGGCTAGAAATGCATCCTAATAAGCTTGCCACGCAACTAACCATACCGGACCTAATACATAGGCTTAAAAGGAGACAAATCCTAAGTCTTGATAGACACGGTTGAAAGAGAGAAGTCTCGATGGAGATTTTGCTCTGAACGCCTAACAGCTCTCAACACGTCTGCGCATAGTCTAGCTGACTGATCGCAAGATAAAGACTTATATAAAAATACTAGTGGACCCCACAGACGTTGTCCTGCATGATATTTAAAGCGATTAGGATATTAAGCAAGGTATGAAAGTACCGACTGCAGTGCCATCTGCCGGGCTGATTTGTGAATCTAAACCATTTCCAGATCCCCTTGAACACACACAAAAAATTTCATCAAAATCGGTCCAGTCGTTTGAGAGAAGTTCAGTGACATACACACTCACAGAAGAATTATATATAAAAAGATAATATGTATAATATGTATTGTATTCCATCTTTAGTAGAATTGTTTTTGTTATGTATAATTTAAGATATAGCTGTAGTAGCTGTAGGCGTACGAAATAAATAAATAAAATAATAATACAGTTTTATATATCAAGTATACGTTAAACTCAGAACACCTTTCTATGTCGGGATTAAAATATCCTTTTGTTTAAAATGTAATATTCTCGCGAGGAATTTCCCGAAAACCTAATATGTAACAGTGACACGAATCTTAAACATTACGTTCCGTTAGGTATTTTAGTACGGAGCTCTTGTAATAAGGTAAATTTAAATAACATATGTGTTCTACTATTTGGGCAATCCGCCCTAGCGCCGCGCATAGAGAAAATTTTGATTATTATAGCGATTGTCTTTGCGTGCTACCGTTACTTAAAAAAGTTGATTATTTAGAAAGCACCATACTGGATTTCTAAGAAATACATAGGTTTTAAAGGATAAATTATAATATCAAAATTATTAAATTTCGGTAGAATGAAATGTATTAGCTTTACCTATACATAATACTCGTGTAATATTAATAATATGAATAAATCAAACAAGGTGGACTTAGCTATTAACTTATTTTTTAACAAAATTTTAGACCTGAATCCAAAATATGAGCAAAAGTACCTATATATTTTTAATAAAACTTTTAAAGATATTTTGCATTTAAACTAGAATTACATATAATGTTACAATAAAAATATTTTAAAAACAAATAATTATCATTATGTGTATCGATGTATATTTTTACTAAATTCTTCACAGTCAGGCACTAATACTGTTTTTAAAGTTGTAAATAAAAAATTAATACAGACAACTATAAATAATATGTAAGTGAAATATTAATCAGCCAATGAATATTCACTTAACAGGCACTCAAATTTTAATTACCAACTCAACCCGTCGACCCTTGGTGACGACTGACGACTGCCTTTGTCTTCCGTCTTCGGGGGCAGATATAATTGGCCATTTTAATTAGAATTTTTTTGACGTTTATGACACTTGACTATAGTGAATAATTAATGGGATTTAAGATAGTACAGGGATTTATACATAAATATACAGTCTTAAAAGATTATAGAAACCCGCCGTTACCGGAACTGTCGAAACAATTTTTATGCCATATTTCATTTTAGATTTTTTAATATAAAAACGCGTGACATTAAACAAAACATTCAAAAAAAGAATTGTTGAGAAAAGAGACCCCACAAGTGCAAACAAAGGGGTGAAAAAGAATCCCATCAAACGAGTGGTAAAGTTTTAATTAGAATATAAAAAGCTATAGGTACAATATTACATAAAACTTTGGCCGCGACCGTTTCTTTCAATGCGTTGTTTTTAAATTCTGAGAGTATTTCCTTCATCTACGAGTATATGGCTGTGAAATTGGAATATTTTTGAAGTGAAACTTCTTTAGGCGCAAGAGGGTAAAATTTGTAGGTACGGATGATGCGCAATAATAATAATATTAGCGTCACGAAGATGTGCAGCGTTTTTGTCGAAGAAAAGGGAGAGAGCGATTGAGACCGATTGAGAGAGAGCGAGAAGGGCGAATTACCTTATTAGAAATTCTATTTTTAAGATTAAAATTTTGTAAAGAGTATTAATGAAATGTTAGTATTTTATATTTTACGCAAAATAATTTATTGAAATCTCAAATGACGAATTGTAAATTAAAATGCCACGTGTTTTTATTACTGAAGATGTAAATTAAATGTATAATTTGTATTAATTTTCGACACTTAATATTTTAATGACAATTAATTCCTGACATATCTTCCTTTTTACCTCCCTCGAAGTCTCGGAAATCTAAAATTTGTATAAATATGAACAAGACTTAAAAAATTAGTTTGCCAAAGATTCACTTCTGACATGTGTACTTTGTACGAACGCACTTTTTTTTACACGGTCAATAAGTTTGTTTGGATTGCTTTTACAAAAGAGAATTTACAACAACAATCCAATGGCGCTATAATCCTATTTGGGTCTAAGCTTCAGATTGCTACCGTTTTTGGATCATTTTTAATATATATGTTTTTGGATTAGAGACATGCCGGTTTTCTTACAAAAATTTTCTGTACCGTACGAGCGAGTGTTAGTTGCGTATATACAAAATGCATTGGTGTATTGCCTGAGATCGCACCTAAGCTACGACGGGATGAGAGAGTTAAAAAGAAAGATATTCCATAGACAAAAGAGTAAAGCATGAGCGCTAGATTAAAATAAATAGTTTTGAAAAATCATCTTATTCATGTTATCAAGATCATGTAGAAATAGCATCTTACGACTCTGATCAATTCAATCGGTATTCCAAATCGTAAACTTAAATCTCGCTGACGTCGAAGTTCTCAACTTTTAACGATCGAAAGAAACAAATAATTTTCTCTGTTAGTATGAAGGTTTCGATTAGTTTTTTTTAATAATAAAAATTAAATGATATAGTTTTATATTGAGCGCCGTAGTTGCTTTAACGCACAATATTTACAATGATTATAAATCGGATAATAATTTCAATAAAAGTCTTCAAAAATCATTTTACATTTTGTAGTAAACTTCATTTTACACGATAACTCATTTTCTCGGCCACTACGTTGTAATATGATTTTCCTGAACATTACAAAATGTTTATTGTCCCATAATGAAAGCATTCTAGGTCATCACCGACGGCGAAAGAAAATCTAATTTCCGCTTAACTGTGATAATGAAAGTACCATTGTCTCTTTCCAACTAAACTATTATAAAGCCTTTTATGAACTTCAGTTCCGCCTTATTTTTTCGCGCATTTGAAAGTTAAACTGAACTAAGTTGTGATTTCTACTACATTAAGGTAATTTGCAATTTTGTAATCTAGTTAATATGTAATATCAAAGCTTATTAACATATTTTTTTCATCTTAGAATTGGAACATTTTGAAGGGTCCAAGTATCGCACCTTAGAAACGAAAATGACCATTTGAGCCATAGAGTACAAGATAAGGAGACAATAGCATACCATTGTCTGTCAGGGCAGGGCAAAATTTAAAAGTCTTAAAGATAAAGAAATATTATAAGATAACAAAAAAGGTCTGCCTGTATTGAGGATGTTTCAGCTCATTAACATAGAGATTGAACCACCGCCTGACGTGGACTGAATGCCGTCGATAATCAACTCAATTCAGTATAAGATTGAACATGCATTAGTATTGACTAGGGATAAAATGGATTCCTAAGAGAATTCTCGACTAATATATTAGATTACGAACTGATCGTGCTGGCTTCGTTAACTTTATAAGAACGTATCTCAAATGTAACACTCTTGTAGTTGACGTATCTCCAAATGGATGGATAAAGCTTTATGGGTAATACGTTTAATTATTAATATTGGTGGAATTACGACAATGCGATTACGTTCAGTCAGAGTATAAACCAATTTTTTATTATTCGTGAAGTAAATAGCTAATAATCATTACATATTTAAACTTATGATTTTTATTTTATCGCAATCAACACATAGTACCTGAAAACTTAGAATCTTACTATTGTTTTTTGCTAAGTAACTGTAGCTAATAATACAAAAAGTCAAGCTCTGGACAGCTGAAAAGTAATTAATAATGCATGGCTTACCTCATTTTCTCTAACAAGATCAGTCTTTTCAGCATCCACATCATTTGAAAGCGCGTTATCTGTCATCGTAGACTCATCAACCAATCTCTCCTTACTTGGATGATTTATTAGATCTGGTCGAGTGTTCATTAAGTTCGTGGCGTTTTCATTCAAACAATTCTCTTTACCTAATTTAGTGTCATCATTTGTCCGTTTATCATGGCTTTTTATTTTGAAGCAACTTATCGACTTCTTTTCTTCTGTTGCACCGTCTCGACGTGCATTTTTATCTGAATCATCGTTCATTTTTTTATTTTTTATTTTAAGGCGTTTCTTCTTTCCTTTCCATTTTTTATTTGTCGATTTTGATGGGCTGTCATCGCTTGTACCGAAGCTATCTGAACATACCGGATTCACTAAAATCTTTGTTGATTGAGCTTCCCTTTCAATCTTTCTGAGGTTTAATAAATTTCCAGAAGTGTCTACGAAGGCTGGGAGAGATTTTAACGATGCAGAACTATCTTTAGCATCACCCAGACTGTGTACTGATTTGGGTATCATGTTTAATGTTTTCATAACATCGGTGTTATGACGAGATTTGTTTGATCCGAGTGGTCCCATTGTTATCGGCGGTCCTCCTTTAAACAACAATGCTGTCTCCATTGGCTGACACACACAAGCTAACATTTTCACTACTTAATTATCTCACATTTTTGTATGTTTTGCATAAACTTTATAAAATAGTATGCCTGAAAACCAACCGGGAGAATCTCGTAAATGTAAGAACAAGATATGAAATGTACTATGTAATGTGTTTGAGATCTTAGGGGTAATATTGTCGTAAATACTTTGCTGCCGACGTTTATACTGATATTAAACTTGTCGTTTGTGGCTTACTGTCGGCATTATTTCGACATAAAAATAGAAAATACTTTTCTAGGAACAACAATATGTCGTAAGCTCTTTACTTGCCTCAAAAGTAATATTATTGTTTTGTCCCAGGCCCAGATACATATCGTTAATTTTATACCACTTAAAAAAAAAAACTTTTCATAAAAATGTTAATAAACTAGTTATGGTAATTCTACATAATAACCAAATATTACACAAGGCGATTGGCTATTGACAACATGAATGGTAAAATCATACAATTGAAGCCATTGAGATAGGAAAATGGCATTAAAGCTTTTATACAAACTACGTTCTACCGGAAAATTAACGTTTTCATAAAACAATTACGTTATTTTGATACAATTAAAACTGTAAGGCTTGTTAAAGATCGTCACGAAATCCCTTTAAAATTTAAATTTCCTTAATTGGAGTAATTATGACAAAGTATTTTATTTCTTGCAAAATCGACTTTTAAATAGTGAATATTGTTGTAGTTATTGTTGAATTTTTTTTATGTCTTTCCCAATCAGATGTGTCGAATCAAAATATTGTATGAATGTGATGTTAACGCATTATAAGATTAAAAATATAGCGTTTTTATGATATCAAATTTGTCTAATTAAATAAATTATAAATCATAACAATCAATAAGTAAAGTTTCGTCATTATATAGAGATTTTGCTAAGAAAATATAGCTAAATATTTCATTTTGAAAGAATTTTACTATGCCTTAATATATCTGAAACTATAAAACGATATAAATTCAATAAATTTCATAACCAAAGATAGGATGACACGAAAGATACTTGAATCATGAGAAAATTTCTAACAATATGTTCGAGTATTTACGATTTATACTCCATCCCGTTCATCTAGAATTTTATCACAATTAAAAACAATTGGACTCGACTTCCACGTAGAATGTCATGGAAAAAAACACTGTGATTTTTACTTTGGGATTTCATCGCAAAATGATCCTACATTCCAGAAGCCATAATGTCTTGATGCCAGTAGGAATTATTGTAGTATAGGATTATGGTCCATAAGACAGGCTGTATAAAATCCAATGTCTCATAATATGTCCTCACATTAAGCCTTTATCAAATGAGTAAATCAAGAGATAATGATCGGATACAGAAGAGCAATGTATTAAGTGAATGGCAGTGAATCGTCTTCATGAAATATGTATGTTTAAGATCTATCCCAATTAGATTTATTTTTTACTTTATACTGGTACGGATGCTGGGTTTGTATTTTGATAAAAACGTGAAGTAAATTAATAATAAACATCAGTATATTGGGTCCATGGAATCTTTAAACCCATATGCTAAAAACTAAGGGGACAATTATGATGAATTCATGGCAATAGATTCCGTTAATATGGCAACATTTAAATAGGCTAATTATAATATCAGATCTTGCAAATTAATGTGGCAGTCTTATGATTACTGATAATCACTCGAAACGTCGAGTTATGTAACTAATGAATTCTCGTTTTTATACTATACTAGCAGACCGGCCAAGCGTTGCTGTGGCTAAGGTTTTAGTTATATTACATAGTAGTAACCTATTCAAGGAAAACGGTAGGAGAACACCAGTCATGGGGACAACCATGCTTTTTTGGTGGTAATGCCATTAAATTGTAGCTTATTTGAAACTTTCAACACAGCGCCATCTGTTAGTATTGTGACTATCAAATAATAAACAAATATTTTGCAATAAAATAATATTGCGGGTATAAATTGAGATGTAAGCTATCCTATCTTTTAAGTTAGATCAAACTGCACACGGTGTGCAAATTTGATTGATATTGGTTCAGTAGTTTAGGAGTCCATAGCGAACAAACAACGTGACATGTAATTTATATATATTAAGATGTATATATAATATCCTCTAGAACTAAATAGCATAGATATATGATATACACTTTGTAAACGAAGTCGTACAAAACACTTTAAATTTACAGAAATGATGATAATTTTGCTTGTTCAAAACAGCTTTTCATAAGCTTTTAAGTAATAATGGCATTATATCAAAACATTATCTTAATTAAAGCGGCGTCAAAGGCGAAACTACGAAAATTTTGTCCCCAGCTGAGAGGGGCAGATGGCCGCTTATGTTGAACTTTTATCTGATTTGTGTTACTTTTAAGAATTGTTTTTAATAATATTTTAATACATTCAGTAGTCTTAGTAAATACAAGATAAAATAATAAATAAATGATTTATTACTCCGTTTCTTTTAAGATAGTTTAAATATAGACACTATAAATCTTTGTTTTTAAAATTATGTTTTTCAAGTAATATGCAATCTAATTACCTAGAATAATCTATGATTGTAATATAATCTTTATAAAATTCAAATACGTTCAGTTCGATTTCCAACTAATTATATTAATTAATTATTATTACTTAATTCTATATATATAAAATTCTTGTGTCACAATGTTCGTTCCCATACTCCTCCAAAACGGCTAGAGTCTAGAATAAGAAGCTAGACCGATTCTTATGAAATTTTTTATGCAGAGATATTCTGAGAATCGGCTACTATCTATCTTCCAAACCCCCTAAGACGTCTAAGTGATAAGGGGTGTCCACCCCAAATTTATTATTTTCATTTTTGAGACTAAATTTTTTTTCGGTTTATATTTTTTTATGATACAACATACAAAAATACATACAAACCCTAATTTTCACCCCTCTACGATCAACCCCTCTTCTTTATTTTTGTAGTTATTTTTATTGAACTTAAAAAATGTTTCCTAGAATAATATACATGGCAAAACAAACGTTTGCCGGGTCACCTAGTATACTATATGATTAACTACTGCAAGACATGCACTTTAATACAATTTTTTTAAAAAATTGGAGTTTATGGCCTGGTATTTAGGCCATAACACAATTTAATATTTGAATAATTGTTGCCTGTTTATTTTTTATTTGAATGCAGATTCAAAAACAAACAGTGAAAATTTTTTGTACAATCTGACTCTATTAAGAGTAGAAGAGTTAAAACTTGCTACTAAGTAAGTAATTTAATTAACTGTAACAAAAATAAATTACCTTGGTAATTACAATGCGTATTAACATTTAATTCTGAAAGTGATTGTATACGTAACTCAGCTTCAGTCTTCAACAAATAAAGCTTTGCTAAGCAATTAATGTGGTAATTGGTTTAATTAAGCTAAATAATGGGATTTTTTAAATATCTATTTATATACACCATTCACAATTAAAATGTTAATATTAAACATTTTTAGTTTTGCGTGTTGTTATAAGTCATAAGTCTTGGACTTGGGGTCTATCAACAGAAGAGCGTACTACAACCATAAAGGCCGGCAACGTACTTGCAACCTGGTGTTGCAGGTTGCAAGTAGGCGGCGGTAAGCACTTAATTCTAAGTGACCTCTCGTTTGCCCCCCTCTCATATAATAAACTGGCAACGGATATTTATATATATCCTGGAAAAAGGCATTTCCTCATTGAGAGGGGTGATACTTTTTCGACTATGATATATCGGGACTAACGAAAATAATGAAATATTTTATATTTTATTCGAAATACTGTGAAACGCAATGAAAACAATAGTTGTCCTATTTTATATTAAAACATACGAGTATATAATTGTTGAGGTTTTTGAAGTCGATTTAAACATATTGTTACTTCACATACAGTTGAATATACATTGCAGTAATGATGATTGGAGAATTAATTCACGTGCATTCGTCTTGTCACGTTGAATATGACATCAATGTTTCATGTTGACATTATTTACCAAACATTTCTCTTCTACGTGTCAAGCCAATTCGCCAAAATACTAACCGATATTTATTCAGCATTCGATTGCGCTCTATTTTATATTATATTTATTTAGTAAATGTTTTTGATGGATGTTTTTAGCTTCAGGATTAATAATGAAATTCATTATTTTTTTAATAATCCTATTATTTATTAAGAGCCGTGTTAGCCTAGTGGCTTCAGTGTGGACCAATGGGCATTCCGTTTAACACTAGGGCGAAGGAAAACATATTAGGAACGCAGCATGCCTTAGACCCAAAATGTTGACGGCGTATGTCAGGCACAGATACCTGATCACCTACTTACCTTATAAAAAAACAAATGATCACAAAACATACAGAAATATGACGCCGAGAGCTAAAAAGTAGCGCTACTGTTGTTATTATTATTTATTAACATAAGGTATCAGTCAGTATCAGTAATCTATCAGTCAGAACATACTAACGATATAATAATATATAAATATATATAATAAAATAAATTAAACAGCAAAAATCTTGATACATCCAATTCCAATGAAATAAATCGCCCAATAAAACGTAATACGACAAATTGTGAGTAAATTATCGTCGAGAAACTTCCCCTATGTCATCTTGGACAGAATTAGTTTTGCGAAGTTCGGCGTCCTTTGATTGTGTTGTTATGAAGATTTAGGGATGCCGCAGAAATTTCATAAAGTTGATTTGCTACCTTGTTCACTGTCTTTTAGCTTAAACTTGTTACGGAGGTGTTATATTAATGTTAAATATATGAACTTTTGTTTTGTAATCATCCCTTAGGCGTGTATTAATTGTTTTATTGGAGAGATTATATCTGCTTTCTATTAAGAAAAGCAAATAATTCAGATTCTTTTAAGCTTTCTAAAACGTATCTAAATCTTTATACCTTAGAAGAGATAGTCTTTATTTAAATAAAGTTCTAAAAGAAATATTATATTAAACGTCTAATTTTTTGTGAATATTAAATTCTCAATTAGTAATTATAAAGCTCCACACAAAG